TGTTGTGGTTTAACCCGGCAGGTAGCCAAAACAACCACACGCTGTTTGCTCAGCCTCCCCTCGACCACAGTGGGATCCAGTTAGCCGTGGCCCCTCCCCAGCCAACTTCCCCAGTTTATATACTGGGCATGATGCCGTATGGTAGGGAATATCTCTTTGGCCAGCCTGGGTCAGCTGTCCCGGCTGTGTCCCCTCCCAGCTCCCCGTGCACCCCCAGCCTGCTCGCTGGCAGCCCAGTAGGAAAAGCTGGACAATCCTTGACTGCTTAGCAACAACCCAAAACATGAGTATGTTATCAACATTATTTTCATCCCAAATCCAAAACATAGCCTCATTCTAGCTTCTATGACAAAAATTAACTCTATCCCAGCTGAAACCAGGACACTGGCGTATAAAAATGCAGCTTTTACCTCAGTTGTCCCTGTGCTGTGATGAATACCTGTTAATTCCTTAATATTTAACTCTCAATGTTTGGAGTGCTTTTTTGGATGGCTAATCTAAATGTAATTTGTGCTTCATGGGTTTTCCTCAGATGGCTGATTTGATTTAGTTAAGTAGATGTAGTTCTTGTGGAGGTATTCTTGTTCAGAATATACCCTTACTTGGATGAAATTTAGTAAGCAGCTATCACAACTGGAATAAAAGTGCTCCATTTCAGTCATAGTACATAACCTTGTTGTAGATAGTTGTTCCAAGAGGTTGTTTGTCATACTTTGTGTAGACAAAACCTACACCACAGTCTTTGAACTAAATATCAAAAGTCCTTTGAAGATATTTTTGGGTTTTGTTTTCTTGTAAGGGTCTCTTAGTCCCAGTAGGGGCTTTTTTTTGTTGTTTTTGTTTCTTTCTTTCTTTCTTTCCTTCTGTAGAGAAGGGGTTGCCTACTGACTTTATAGTCACTCCTGCTTATCTAGGGCCCATCTGTATAACAAGTCCTGCTTCTGTCATCCCCTAACTGAAAGCATAGATTTATCAATACTGTCTTGATCTGTAAGTAACGTAAAATACATTTCAAATATTGTACATTGTCACTGGTTGTTCTTCCCACTCTTCTTTAGAACACAGAAAGATGCAAAACTTCATCTGACAGCAAGGAAAGTTCAGGCATTTTTTGAAGTGTAGCTTTCATTGTCCAAGCGCCTTGTAGTGTTGTGGTGTTTGGGTTTTTTGTTTGTTTGACTGGTTGCTTTGTTTGTTTTCAGTGGCATTCTTTGTGTCTTCTATGAACTGTTCTTGCTCCCCAGATCTTGATCCTTTTCCAGATTTTTTTTTTTTTTTTACCACCAGGCATTTCACTACATGCCAAACCTCCTGACCATCACCATGGTGGATGGGTATTATTTCCCTATGTTCTTGTAGTCCAGAAATGGCAGCTAATGGTCAGACCTGCCATGATGTTTTGTGGGCAGATGCTCTTGCTAGGTATGGTGCCCTGCCTAAGAGCTTTGAAGCAAAACAGATGGCCAGATAAGTGAATAGGGGGACGTAGGTCTTGTGCTTAACTTCTTACATACCTATACAGCATGCCTGGAGTAAGTAGTGCTTGGAAAGTGTGTTATGATAGTGCCTTTAAATACTGAGTAGTCTGTGAGAAGCCTTGCGGACACCTAAAGGGTCTTTCAGCTTTATAGATAAACTAATACTATTGTGGAATGTCAAAAGAAACACAAGCTATTTAAAATTAGAGATGTAAATTTTTATTAGATGTAAATACCGTAATTGCCAGGGATCTCTATATTTCATTGGTTAAATAGATGTGTGAAGAATTTAATTGAATCTTACACATACAACAGTTGTAAAGTTAGTTCATTATCTCTTTCAAGTAGTTGAAGGAATTTAATTGCTAAAATGACAGTTCTGTTATGTACAACATTTTAATTTAGGTTTGAACCCCTAGAAATAACTATTTCCTGGACACTAGCTGGTATATATTTTCAGGTTAAGATCTACTCTAAGGTCAGAAAAATTAGCTAAACCTGTGATTTAATGTTTGGGGAACTGGAGTGTTCCCTTTAGGTTGAAGCTGCCAGCAAGGTAGTCTGGAGGAGCTGTTTCCCCAGGTATGCTACATAAAGGATAAATCTGGCTGTTAGCATTCCAGCTTGATTTCAGCCCTGAAGTTCTGATTTGCAGCCAGAGCATTGTGTTTTGTGATCATGCTTCAAAGCAGAGCTAGAATGGGAAGTCCCTAAAAAAAAAAAAAACCAAACCCCAACAACCCTGTATTTAAATGCAATAGGGAAGGGTGGCACCAACTCAGTGTGTGCACTGTACACCTTAAGCTAATTTTGGTCCTGTACCTCATTTGGCAGAGAGAATCATTTAGCTGGAGGACATAATTTTGAACTGCAAATGTCAAAATTTTTTTTAAAGATCCTAGCCAAAGATCAGGCTAACTTTCATTATAAAGTAGGTGTTGACTTCAGTGACCAGCCTGTGGTTAAGTAAGTTGGATAGTTAAACTTTTTTTTAAAGAAACCTGAGATGGCGGTCTCATGTGGATAGAGTTTTCTTTGTTTTGCTTGAATTGTTGTCAATAGAACAGTGTTAACATTGGTTTGCTCCAGGGCTTGTCACAAGGAATTGTTCCTGGGTTGTCTGCTATGTACACTTTAAGCTGGTGGGCTCGGTGTTGAGCATTTACTCTGAAATCATGAAGCTGTAGCATGCCAATAGGGTGAAGAATGGCAACAGAGTTAAACAGAGTTCCCAGGTAATATAATGAAATCATAAAGAAGCACCAACTTAAAAGTCCTGTCCCAGTCATAAAAAGAGCAAATTTTTTCATACGTTCATGCTGTAACTTACCGAAGTGGCAACGGTGTGAAGCAAGGAGCTTGTGTGCCTCACAGTGAATGAACCTTCTAAGGATTTGTGACATGCTCTTTTTCTCGGAGTCCATTTAATACAATTTTTTGTAAGGTGGTTATCTGTGTGAGTGTGTTCATGTTCCCGTTAGAAAGATGGGTCAAACAGAGCGTATTTTTGACCACTCCACGGAGCAGGGGGGATTGGGGAGGGTGTGTGTTTTGTTTTTTCCTTTAAGCACGATGGTATCCTGAAGAGAGTTTTCTGTGAGCTGGCAGTGTGATACACATTTTTGGAAGTTCTGTGTAGAACTAGAAAAGGACATGTTATAATTCGTGGAGTGAGACATTTCCTAATAGCTAGAACTAAATCTAAAAGCCAGGTTTTGTCTTTGTGTCTAACAGTACTCTTAAGAATTCTGCTTTTGAGTGGCTGTGGAATTGGAACAGAATAGATTTGTGCGCCATTAAATGCCTGCGTTGCAGTGCTTTGTTTGAAGTAAAGGCAGAAAACTTGCAATGACAAGCTTGGATTTTGTTTGATTCGCCTTGAAAACTTCATAGAAGTAAAGATAAGGGAAAGGTCAATTTTCAGATCTTTCCATTATTTGAATGTTTCCTTGCAGCACTGGAAACACAACTACAACAGTGTTGTGCTAGTATAGGAGAACCAAAAAATTCAGTTGAACAGTCTAGTTCATTGTCCAAACTGAGTGAAATACTAAATATAAATGGCGTTTGAGAGGAAAAAGAAAACTGTATTTTTAAAATCCTTTAATATACAGTTTTAGTAATACATGTAAGGGAAACTTTCAAATATTTTATTTTGCAAGTGTCAGAGGTACCTTTGAAAAAACCAGGACAATAAGGAAGTAGTGATAAAACTATTCCTTTTCCAATATTAGAAACAAAATTTTTAAGGTGATTTGGAGTAAGAAGTGGCAGCAAGAAACTGATAATGAACTCATGCTCTAACCTCTAAATCTGGACTTTTGAGAAGAATTCCGACACGACTTTCACACCTTTTTGGATTTTGTTCTGTTGTATGATGGTGCTTTACTCTGCTGTGTGAACAGTTTTCCCTTATGGAATATGTGGACTTGCTCACAGACTTTTCTTTTTGTCATAATTTAAGAAAACTTTTGATAGCTTCAGTTTTTGAAATGCCTTAAGCTGATTTATGGATCCTGTAATTTAAACATTGATAGTATGAAAGTTATGTCAGTGTTTTTTGTGGTTTTTTTAATATGGAAGTACAGATTTTGCATGGAGTGTGCTTTTTACTTATGGGGAGAAAACAATTTTGCATGTTTATATTAATGTTTAGAGTGTACTTGTTTAAAATTATACATTACTCAAAGTAAATTTCTGGGCAGATTTGCTATCAGTAGCTAAAAGAAGCTGTTACAGTTGAATCCAGCATAGCATATGACCAAATTCCATGTAAAGCATACTTTCAGACTGCAACTTTTCACCCTTCCTTTATGTAGAGTGTGGACTTTTTCAAAGATTGGAAAAAAGTCCATCTAGCAGACTTTGTGGGGGAGGTACAAACCTCAGGTAGATTTTAACAGCTTTACCAACAGTAACAGGTTTGTAAACTGGCTTTGACATAATCTGGGCTTGGGAAATCCACTCTTCTCATAGTGAATTAGGATGCTTGGGTAAAGGCCATTGTCAATGCCTTCTTAAGTCTGGATGACTTTTTATTTGAACTACGTGATTATAGCTTTCAAAACTTCAATCAAAATACAGCGTGTACCTCCGCTTTGGTAGTGTCAGACAACTTGTGCTTCGTGTAGCTATCAGGCTTGGCCAAAGTGTGGGAGAGTGAAAACTGACCCTGCATGTTGGTGCTCAGTGGTGCTCCTAAAATCCCAGGCAGTGTCTTTCCTGCTTAATCAAAGCAAAGTCATCAAGGGAGTGGAAGAGCTGACCATGAAGATTACTCTAGGGGAAAAGGCTTGACATGTAAGCAAAGAATAAGATAGGGAAGACAGTCTTTTGAACTGAAAATTGAAGGTGGCTAAAAAAGGGGAAATCCACTAAATACTTACTGTGTAGAATGTGAATGGATCAATAATAATAGTCCAGAAGAGTTGGGAGTTACTCTAAGCTTTAACGTACAAATATGATTTCTCTTGTGCTTTGTAGTGATGTTTTGAGCTCTTACTGAAGTTTTTCTTAATGTAGGTTACACACTACAAGCAATATCCACCTAATACAAGCAAAGTATATTCCTACTTTGAATGTCGTGAAAAGAAGACTGAAAATTCCAAATTAAGGAAAGTGAAATATGAAGAAACTGTTTTTTATGGTTTGCAGTACATTCTGAACAAATACTTAAAAGGTAACTCTCTCATATTCCAGTAAAACTTTACCTGTAAATAAATATCTTTATTTTTCTCAAGCCTGGAGTCTTATAGTTGAAACAATTGCAGGTTATCTTGGTTCTTTGTAGGTGGTGACATGCATAAGACCTTATTTATGTGATTCTGAAAATGAGATGTCCACCCTCGTAAAATGGTATTGACTTCTTAATTCAATTAATTTCTAAACCTCTCGGCTATGTTTATTTATGCCAGTGGTTATTAAAACTTAAGAGATGTTCATATCCCAACTTCAGTGGGCTAAATTGAAATGAATGGAAATAGAGCAAGACTGTGCATAGAATCACAAGAAGATAGAAGATTTGCGAGAAAATATATTTTGCATTTTGAACATAAACTTTAGTCTGTATTTGCTGGTTTATTCAGTGTGTAAACTAACAAAGGTTTTAATTTCCCTTAAATTTCAGTTGCCACTTAGCTTAGATAACTGAATATGGCAGCTACGTGTGAAAGTGTTTTCAATATTGACAATTTTAAGAGAAGCATCTGCAAATTCCTTGGTGCCATTTAAGATTTTGTTTGCTTTTTTGCATTATGTGCAAATATCACCTATTCTGACCTGAATGCAAGTTGACTTCTGCCAAGCTTTAGAAGGAAGACTTTAGTCATATGGCTTACATATCTTTGTCTTGATCCAGAATCCATAAATATTTCTGCCAATTCTGCCAAAGATTGGAATTCCACTATAATCAAAACACTTGATAATCTTGTTTCTTTTCTCTTTAGCAATCTGAGGATTGTTCTCTAACGTTTCCAGTAGGTGATTGGTCCTAAAGCAGTAGCAGTGCTTATTCAAATAATGTGGTTAGTTTGTCAGTTCATATCACAGAAGTGGTTAATCAAAGACTGGTTGCAAGGCCTCTCCACAAGGATTCTCCCTAGAGCAGCATACCTTAACCCTTGCGCTAATCTGGTTATGTCCTCTTGCATGTGCCAACTTGCACAATCATCGTTCCTCTAGGAAAAGCACTGCTACTAAAACCTTTGACAGGTTACTGACCATCATAAAAGAGTAATGATCTCAAATTGTTCCTGAGTCACCTGTAAACTACAAGTTTTTTTTAGCTGGTTGGTTTCTTGAGCATCCTAATCTATATAGTAAATGAAAGTAAAATTTGGTTTTAACATAGCTAGTACACTGCATTTGACATGTTCTCCATGTCTTTATTGGAGGCAAAGTGACGTTTCTGTGTCTGAACCTTTTTGTTATTTATTTTTTAAATTGGTGAATATCACAAGCTTCTAAGCTTTCATCTGTTTCCGAAACCACAGGTAAAGTGGTGACCAAAGAGAAAATCAAGGAAGCCAAAGAAGTGTATAGGGAGCATTTTCAAGATGATGTCTTCAACGAAAAGGGATGGAACTATATTCTGGAGGTAAAAATTTATGAAAATAGTATGAGATCATCAGGAAGGATTTATGAATCAACTGTAGAATAAATACAGCAGTCTCTCCTTTTAACCATGGTAGTAAAGACTGGATAATTTTAGCTTGTTATGTTTAGTGTACAGCGAGTAGCAGCTGTCAAAGAATAATCACATAATTGTAATTCCTTAGAGAAAAGCAATTTTCATCCTTTCAGATGCCAAATACGGTTTTGCAGGTAATAAGGATTTACGGCTGCCATCAGCCAGCTAGTATAAGTGGGGGCTTGTTGGCAAGTCTCCGTATATAATATAGCGTTTAGTGGTTGCTTGCATCATTTACATTGCTTTCTGTAACTAATCATAACCATTTTTATTCTAATGCAGAAAGCATTACAGGTTCTTGCATGTGTAAATAGTTCCAGAAAATAGATGTTTTGTTCAGTTGTTTCCTAAATGTTTCAGAGATACTTAAGTTAAACTTTATTATGAAGTACAAGGCTTGAACACTTCTGACACACAAATCCTTTCAAAGTAAGTCTTCCCACAATTATCTCTTTCCCCTTTGTTTAAAAAGGTGTCAGTCTTCAAGTAATTGCAAACATCTCTTCTCTGTAAAAGCAGCAGATTCAGACTAACAGCATTCATCAGAGCTGTTCTAATCTCTGCAGATTAATTAAAAGCTAAGTTTCATTGCGAGTTCTAGTAAATGGATATTTGTGTCATTTGAAAACACAATTTTTAGTTCTTTGCATTTATTTTTCCCTGGATACCCTGACTGTATGCATTTTATGGTGGCATCTGCCTGTGAATATATCTGGATGTCATCTTGCAACCAGTGTGGACAGTAAGGTGTGCAAGAGAAAAGTGAATTTCAGCTAAATGTTGCAAATGGCAGCAAGATAAATAAAACCACTGTTTTCTAAGAGGGACTTACGGAGCGGTTTGTAGAGGGCTTGCATCCATTTGAAATAACTACTGATATGAATTCAATCCATATTTATGTTTAAGCTACATTATACATTGTGAACTGCTCTCATCTGTATTTAAAGTAATCTTGATCCCCCTGGCAAAACTGAATTAATACACTTTTAATGCTGCATGTCTGTCCACACTGAGGTTTAGCTAATTCTGTTTCAATGCATGCTTTTGGTTTAGTCAAAAGAAGCCTTCCTGCATACCCCCTGTATACATTGTTTATTCCTTTGTTAGATTTTCGTGTTGAAATTGTGCATATATATAAATAAATACAATTTCCACTTCTTGATCTTTGATGCTGATGGCTTTCAAACTGAAGTGTATGTACCCTTTGGGTCTTTGTATGCCCTTATATACATACAGAGACCCTGCTTCTGGTCACTGAATTCCTGTATATATTCACATGCCTACCACCGTTTACTCCCTGGCTCTGTTACCTAATGTGTAGTGTTGGGTAAAGTGGAGGGAGCAATGGGTGTATGTGTGAAGTGCCAAAATGAATTTGAAATGTACATACATGAATTTGTATGAAGAGTAAATGAATGAGTAAATACTGATAGGGTGAAGGGATGGAAGAGAAGAATGGACTGCCTGAAGAGCAAGGGAGTGGTGTAAAGGCTGGAAGTGGGCAGGAATTGATGAGTGAGGGATGTAAGCCCTGAATTGTACAAATTGATTGTACCTAAAAATTTTGAAAAGGACTATAGTACGGTGCTATGGCATGACCATATTGCTTTTTCCATGGACAAAATCACCACCTATAGCAACTTTGAAGTCTGTTTTATTTTTTCCACTTCATTTATTACTGATTCAGTATATACTTATTTTGAGCCTTTTTGAAGGTTCCATTGTCCTTTTTTAATCCAGAACAGACATCTCCAAGCCTGACAACTAAACCTTGTGTGGTATATAAACACAATTTGCTTTAGCAAATACATTCAGCACTTGGGAAGAAACTTTTAAACTGTAGTGTAGAAGAGACTCTGATGTGTCTTGGGCACTGGAGAATATGTTGTGATGCTACTTACAAACCCATGTAATTTCTCTGAATTGATGTAATTTTTGTTGCCTTTAAAGAATGTCTCATGAGAAGCTTTCTGTCAAAAATATTAATATACAAAACATGTTAAGTATTATCAGTTTAGCTTGCAAAGTTCTTTCAGAAAGTTATAATTACTCTAAAAGAGTTGCTGTTTGCAACATACTCTTTCAAAAGGCATATTTCACACAATGTTTATCCCTTCAGGGACGAAAGACTGTATTTGACAAAAGAATCACACTTCAAGATTAGATTTCATCATTAGTGAATAATTAAGATGATAAAATAAACTTTAAAATAGATATTAAATGGATCCTGCTCTAATAAATTAACAAAGCACCACACATGTATACTAAGCAAAACTAGAGATTTTTTTTGAAGGCCTAGATAATAGCTAAACTTTTTTTATCTTCATGTGAAAGCACTGAAGAAAACTAAGTAGCAAATATTTCTTGCTCTGTGGGTAGAACTTACGTATTTTTATAGAATATTTAAGCCTTCTTGACTCAATTTGCAGAAGGAATACAAATGATAACCATTATTTGGTTTTATAGACTATGTTTTAGGTTACAGGATTTTTCTCTTTTTTTGATAAATGTTGATTGTTTTATTTATTTAGGCTGGTGGGTGTGCAAACAAACCAAATTATTTCTATGGTTGAAAGAAATGAAGAAGAAAGCCTTATCAATAAATCTGTAGCCTGACTTTTATCCATTGCAGTCAAATAAGAGAGGTACGTCCTGATCTTTCCTGTTGTCTAACAGTATTACTGTTTCCTACACAGAAATACGATGGCCATCTTCCTATAGAAATAAAGGCTGTTCCCGAGGGCTCTGTAATTCCCAGAGGAAATGTTCTTTTTACAGTAGAAAACACAGATCCAGAGTGCTACTGGCTCACAAATTGGATTGAGGTCAGTTGTAGAAAGTTAACATGTTTTTTCTAAGTAAATATAAATGCACTTAAATTAAAGGTTGAATCCCTCCCATATTGTTTAAAGGTGAATCATGGAACGATTTGGGTTGGGAGGGACGTTTAAATGTCATCTTGTCTGACCCTCCTGCAATGAGCAGGGACACCTTCAACTAGACCAGATTGCCCAGAGCCCCATCCAACCTGACTTTGAATGTTGCCAGGGATGGGGCATCTCCCACCTCTCTGGGCAACTTGGACCAATGTTGCACCAACCTCATTGTGAAAAATTTCTTCCTTAGATCTGGTATAAATCTACCCTCTTTTAGTTCAAAACCTTTACCCCTTGTCCTGTCGCTACAGACCCTGCTAAAAAGTCTGTCCCCGTCTTTCTGATAAGACCCCTTTAAGTACTGGAAGGCTGCAGTAAGGTCTCCCTGGAGCCTTCTCTTCTCCAGGCTGAACAACCCCAGCTCTCTCAGCCTGCCCCCACAGGAGAGGGGTTCCATCCCTCTGAGCTTTTTTGTGGCCTTCTCTGGACCACCTCCAACAGGTCTTTCCTGTGCTGAGGGCTCCAGAGCTGGATGCAGTACTGCAGTATCTCTGGCAGCTTTCATTTTCTGCTTTTAGTAAGCCTGGATTCTTTTTTTAGTGCTTTTACACAGACCTTTTCACCCTATCTGGCAAGAGATTGTAATAATTTTACAGGAAATTTGCAACAGTACTTTTATCCACAAGACAAGGAGGTGGAGGGGCATTGTGTGTCGGTAGCTTTGGAGTGATAACTCCTGAGATGGTCAATACTCAGCCTACCATATAAAGGTATTATAAAAGCTAATTACTTTAGCCCTAAAGCAAACTGTTGGAGACATCAGTACTTTCTCAATGGGCAATGAAAATAAATAGCCCTTTTTGTGCCTGATTAAATACCAAGTGGGAATTTTTAAGTGCTAAGCAAACATACACCTAATAATGTGATGGGTTTTGTTTTAGACTATTCTTGTGCAGTCATGGTATCCAATCACAGTGGCTACAAACTCTAGAGAGCAGAAAAAGATTTTGGCCAAATATTTGCTAGAGACTTCTGGCAGCTTAGAAGGACTGGAATATAAACTGCATGACTTTGGCTACAGAGGAGTTTCTTCACAAGAGGTAATACTATTTGTCTAATCATTTGAGAAGTCTAATTGCTCTTAACTATAGAGGATTGTAGTGCGTGTCTGTTAACAGTTGTGTTCCTGTTCAGCAGTGAAATTGTGAATGCATGGAGCACTGTGTTTGGACTTACATGGAGGGGAGGAGATCTGGGGTCGGGGGTGGGCATGTGTCTGAACTGTAAGCACCAGACTGGGAGAACTTTTTTCTCTATGGAAGCTGTCTTTTCTGTGTAAACACGTGAGGAGGGTATTGGTGAAATGGGAACTGAGTCAGGGTTTTGCCATTACAAACTAGTGCTAGACGGTGACTGGGTTTAGGCTTCTGTATTTGGCGTGGCAACTGAAAGTTACGTCTTTTTCAGACTGCAGGAATAGGAGCTTCAGCTCATTTGGTGAACTTCAAAGGAACGGACACTGTAGCAGGAATTGCATTAATTAAAAAGTACTACGGTACAAAAGATCCGGTTCCAGGATATTCTGTTCCAGCTGCTGAACACAGGTGAGATATTGGGCTATTAAAGCCTTTTTAAAAATACCTTAACAAAATGTAAGTTTTTTTTTTATCCGTCTTTGTATCCAGAAATATTAAGCTGTTTCACTTATAAAGTATTAGCCATAACTGATGCAGCTGTTGAGGCTGATGCCTCTTTATGTTCTGTAGACACAACAGTGGCATGGTTGTTCTTAACTATAAAATGTTTTTAACTATAACCTTCTTACCATGTCTAAGTATATTTGGATTATCCTGTTTAGAATGGACTTGAAGGCTTACAGGTGGAAGTAGATATTGAGGATTCATGTTATGAACTTTGAATTTTGTTGTAAACATAGAATCATAAAATGAAAAACCATGTGAGTTGCAATTCTGGACTTTCCCAGATCAAGCTCTCCCCCTGGAAGAGGCATTTGCTTTAAAGCTTCCCATCAGCACAACAAATTCAGCCAATGGTAAATCCTTGATCTCTCACTAAGAATTGTGAATGAGTTTTTGAGAGTAAGGAACTGGTCTCAAACATGCATTTGAGATGAAGAGCTCTCATTTTTTTTAATACCCAAATCCTGTACAAGGTCAGGAGTGAATGCAAATCCTTGGATTTCACTTGCATGTCCGCATACTGAAATAAGCAGAATATAAAGGAAGGGACAGTTGCTTTTTTCTTATAGAGTACAAAATCTAGTGCTTCTGAGTAGTGAATATTTTCATTTAGAATTAAAACACAGACAATGAAAAGGCTTATGTGAATAGTCCTAATAGGGTGGTGGTCATCTTTGAATGAACACTGCTTCATGTAACTTTCTGGACTGTTGCTGTAATTCTGTTCTAGAACACCTGCCTGATAGTAGAAGTCACAATTTTTTTCTGAAATGTCTTCTCTTAGCTTAATACTACAGGTAATTCCAAAAATGGACAAAGCAACTATAAAATTATGTGTAATGAAGGCAAACTCATGGAGTCAGAGAACAAGCATGCATCTTTTGCACAGTATATTGAAGTGGTGGCATGAGAGCAGACAGCTTAAACTGTCCTAGTTAAAGCTGGCATTGCCAAATGCAGACTGCAGTCACCCTTTCCAAGTAAATATGCAAAAAGGTTCTTGTGCAAGAGACCTGGATTTTTACAGAATTGTTCTACTGCTCTACGACCTCTAATGTGAGGTTGTGGTGGTGTTGTCCCAAAAATAGGGTTCTTTATCCTGTGTGCAAAGCCAGTCGACACACAGAGTTGAGATATTTACTTTATTTCGATTCTGCAGAAACAGGTGCTAGGCGATAAATCGCAAATCCAGCAGACTGTTAGCTCAAACACCAGCAATTTATATACAATACAAATCACAAATGATATATGGTTGGTTACATAATTTTACATCACTGAAATATTTGTATGCATGCTCCATCAATTACTTAATTCATTATACTAAAGTGGTCCTACATTTACATTTAAAATCTTCTAGAGGTGTGGGGTTTTTGGTATTAAAATCACCATAGCTTATGTAGCGGACACCTCATATTCTTGATCTTCGTCAAAATCTGTCTCTGGTTTATGTAAAGAAGCTGCCAACCCTTGTAGATAATGCCTTGTTATAGAATTCTACTGTCTTTAGATACTGCTTCTAATTACTGTGTCTTGTTTCTGGTTATTTTAACCTCCGAGGTCATTCAGTCCTTTAATTTCAGGGACGTTCCATTCTTGTTATCGTGGTTTCAGACCAGTTCATTACATGCTTATTCAGCCTAAAATTTTTTACCTGTAAGTTTTGGGGCTTTTTAACTCTATCCTTCCAACATCATTGTGAGTGTGGTGCTTGCCTGGTGCTTGTTCCTCGGACTGCCCCAACCTCATTGAAACAAATTTTGGTTTGTCTGTTCACTACTGTAGTCTGGGGCTTGTCCACGCAGAAGTTAAAGCTAGCATTTTATGGTAAAAATTCAATGCCCGCTAGCTCTTACTGCACGCTTGTGCTTTGCATGAGAGCATTTTTAGGTGTTCGCACACAAGGTACTAAAGTCAGTTATGTCAGCTGGTCTGTGACAGCCACATACAGAACAGCTACTGCAGATCAGCTGGCATCCAATAACTTACTACCTCTCTTGGCAAGTCAGTTTTATGTGCTTGCCTGTACCCTTGTACCAAGGGTAATGGCCTGAGGGTCCTCTAGAAGAATGTTTGTATGAGTGAGCATAATGGTTTTAAATAGCTATTAAAAAAGAAAATAAGTAGTGTTTTCTTCTAAGATTTTTTTTCCAACATATGCTGCTAGTGCTCTACTTCCCATTTTGTAATCTCAAGTTGCCAGAGCAGATGTTCTGCTCTTGGATCTGTAGTTCCCTGTCTGAATTTCAGATTTAAAAGAAAAGTTCTCTCACAAATGTTTAATAAATCACATTTACATGTGAAAGACGTTTCATGTGTCAAGCGTTTGTTGCCAATGGTGAATCCAGGGCCCTGTTTATTTAATGTATAGTATGTTTACTATCTATGCAACACAGAGCTGATAAGCACATAGTTTATGCTGTCTTGTAATCATATTGCCTACTGTTGTCTTGAACTGTTACTGGTAGGAAATACAGAATATGTGATTTAACATATAAATGCTGCTCTAATGTGGATTTTTCAATTGACTTTACAGTACCATAACAGCTTGGGGGAAAGATCATGAAAAAGATGCTTTTGAACACATAGTGACACAGTTTTCTTCAGTGCCTGTATCTGTGGTTAGTGACAGCTACGACATCTACAACGCTTGTGAAAAAATATGGGGTGATGACTTAAGGCATATAATTGAAGCCCGAAGTCCAGAGGCACCACTTATTATTAGACCAGATTCTGGGAATCCCCTCGACACTGTTTTAAAGGTAATCCTTTCTTGAAGTCATTTGTATTCAAGATTGGGAAGGGCAATTGTTTGTTTTGTGATGATTGGCTAACAAACATAAGAAACTTAATGCTCTAGCTTGGTATGCATAGTGTATAGTTGATGCTGGATGATTTGGAGCTATGAAAATGTAAATATTTACCTCATCTCAATATAGATACGGAAACTCTTTTGCAGTGTGAATAGTTTTTAATCTTTTTCATCAAACCCACTCTTGCATGCCATTCTTGAAGGTTTTACAACAGTTACCAGTTTTGCAGGTCTAATGATGCTGGAATGATTCTATAAAGAGAGCCCTTTCATCACTTAATAACAAATAAAATGGGAAACAACTTGGTCATTAATAAATACCAGGCCAATATGACTTCTTACCACCAAACTTAGGTATCTTGACATCCTTTATTAATGTCATTCACTGTTTAATGCTACAAATACAAGTTTAGCACTCTTCTTCCTTTTGTAAGACACGCATTTAAGTCAGTGGCACGCAACCTCCAAGTTGAAAAATGCTTCTTGCCTTGCAGCTCTTTAGAAAGCCTAATGATTGTTGCAGTTCTGTAATAAAAGCTGTTGATACCTCTAAATTTGAGTAGCTGTCAGCACTGTTTTCATAAGAAAGTAGGGGAGATTTTAGTTATGTTGGTACTCTATCAAATTAGATCCCTATAGCTTTAACACTTTTTTCCCCACTTTGGGACAAGTGACATACCACAAATAGGAACTTTGAATAATCGTTATCAGAGCTAGTAAGACAAACTCCTAACTGGGTGGCTAACAAAATTGCAGAAAACTGAAAGCCTCATCCACCATCTTAAGGGAGGTCAAAAGAAGAGCATAATCTTCAGCTGACACATTTAATAGCAAAAACTTGCAGCAACCAAACAGAGAAAGGGGGAAGCATGGTTCTGATTAGCTCTCGGGTACAAGTTCATAAAGGCCTTATGGTCTGTGAATCTAATGGCTTCCACCACAATGGCTGGCATGCTTTTTGTTTGTGTGCCTATGTGGATAGATTTTGAGCAGGATATGTGGGAATTTTTTTTTTTTTTGAGAGTGTGACTCAAATGTGGAAATTGTGTTTCTTTATTGGAATGGCAGGTTTTTATTTTTATTTTGAACTGTCTCCCATCTCTTTTCAATAGGTCTTGGAGATCTTAGGGAAGAAGTTTCCCATTACAGAGAACTCAAAAGGCTACAAGTTGCTGCCACCGTATCTCAGAGTTATTCAAGGAGATGGTGTGGATATCAACACATTGCAAGAGGTAGGAGATCCTGTTCATGTGTCAGGGTGACACTGGCAATGTTGATATTTAATCTGACTCTGTTATGACTAGTCAGATGTTGCAGCAGAGACTGCTAACCCCACCCTGCCCTTCATTCCAGACACTGGCAGTGGTACCTTAATGCGTAGAACAAATTCATTAAAACTCCATGGGGAAATATTAAATGCATAAAAAAAGTAAAAGGCATTTCCTAATCCCCCTGCTGGAACCCTTCTCCTCCCACTGTCTTTCCTTTTGTTTGCTTTCATTCTGCTTGTCAGGTCTAATTCAGATCAAAATCTGGCAGCGTTTGTTCCTTTCATTGATATCTGAGGCACACTGCATGATTGCTGCGCTATAGCAATAGTAATTAACTGGTTTGGCTCATTAGTTATGTACTGTCTGAAGTGTGCTTGCACTCAAATATTGAAGGTGTAGTTTTGAAGGAGGCTTTTTAAAAACAAGGGTAAGGGAGGTGAGTTCATTGGTTTGGCAACTAGCGGAAAAAGGGTTGTTGAAAGCCCAGAAAATATGTATAACAGATTAGTCTGTAGTCTGAGTCAAAAGTGCAATTTCATCAGGACAAAAATTAGTTGTTTAGTAAATTCTGCATGCTTGAAATTAAATTAGTTATAAATTCACCAGACTATTGACTAAATGGAGATAGTAGGTAATATAATGTAGTTACAAAGGCACAGAGTGCAGTAACTACAGATGGCATATAAAGAGGGGAGGCCTTGACTTTATCAGGTTTGTCCTGGATCATTCATCTTCAGCTGCATTAAAGTTCAAAAGCAGAAATAGGTTGGATAAATTTAAGATCAATTTTACTTGATTTTATTGATGCTTTTCTTAGCTTTCTAGATTGACACATCCTTAGATTCTTTTTAAGAAAGTTGACTTTTGCTGCTTCTCAAAATTAGGAGCAAGAGAGACATCAAAGCTTGTTTTGAGTCTGAAACTATTTGTGTATTCAACAGGGCCACATAATGTGAACCTCAACCACAGAACTCAAATTTGTCACTCAGATCCTTAGAGAGCAGTTAATACTGCGATTGTTACCTGATGTGCCAACTGTAGTGTAGTGTGTAGTTGTGCACTACAGTTTTGTTCCTCCTCCAGTAATCTTTAAAGCAAATTTTTCTTTTTTGTCCCATGTGGCTTTTTGAGAATATGCAACTATACTAATATGCTTAACAGAACACAAGCATGAGAGGTTAATAGCTGGAAAAAAAGTCTTACATAGATACCAGGGGAAGAAACTCTTTTTTTATATATATATAAATTTCTGCCTGTTCTCAGCAACTTTTACAGGACTGATCCCTGTGTTAAGCAAAATATATATAAATTTCTGCCTGTTCTCAGCAACTGTTTTACAGGACTGATCCCTGTGTTAAGCAAAGTGTGTTGTTGAGATTTTCATGAGTCATGACAGGAGAGAAACTGGACTATTAATTCTTTCTTGTAAGGAATTCAATGTTGTTTTCTTTAAGTTATACTGGACAAAATTCAAGGATGCTTATATAGCATTGATTGTAATCAAAATAGTAAAGGTATGTTTAAAGTATTTACATTAGAGGAAAAAAATGCATTGCTCTCCAAGTTCTAAATAGAGCAGGAAGATAATTCAAGCAGCTAATGGGAGAGGATAAGAGCCAGAAGGAGCCATTCTTTGTTTAGATGATCAACTGTTTACCTATTTTCTTCATCAAACTGTAACTGATTATGAGGAAAAGTCTACCTGTAATATGTAGCAGAAGGCAGATCATGATCCAGTTCCACAAGACGTATAGAGCAGACGTAACTCACGGCTGCCTAGTGGCCGCCTTGTCATCTCTTCCCGATTCTGTAATCTTTCTGTATCTCATGTCGGCTTTGGTTGTTGAACCGTGGGTCATTAAGCTAATTTAGCCCACACATATAGCAGCAAACTCACTCAGTCAAAAGCAATTAATTTTTTGGTTTAGTGAACTAAGTTGTCCCAAAAAAGGGGCCAGTACTCACCAGCACAATACAGGAGAGAAAATAAACTTTTGTTTTGAGCTGGGAGAAGCAGGAAGGAAGGAAAGAGACACTTCTTACTTTACAGCAGCAAGTTATGTTGGAGCAAAATAATTATGAACTTGCAGCCTAATTTTATGCATGTTTAAATTTCATGGATCTCTTTATCCTCTTATGTCAGCAAAACCAGGGTTACCACACTGACTTTTGGAAGACTGGGTAATAGCTTGCCATTTAAAAACAAACAAACAAACAAAACCCAAACCAAAACCAACCAAACAAGCAAAACCTACCCCAAACCCAACCTAACCTTTCAAAAAGGAGTTTACATGAACACATATGAATGTATTGTTGTGGCCCATCTTTTTTCCCCCCCTCTTATAGCCTATGCAAGTGATTATTCTAATTACTCCGTATCAGTCTTAGATTCTAGGCATGATTTATTGTTATGGATCAGATGAAAGGTAATGGGTACAATAGGAAAATCTAGAACGAGTAAATACCGATCAGTCTCATTTAACTATCCAAACTAGCTGAAACAACAATATAGAAAAACAACTTGGAGTATAAACTGGATTTTAAAATTCTTTGTTTTAATAGGGGATGCTGGTAGAACAGGTAAGGAACCTTTTCTGACTTTCTTCTAGCATTTTCACTTTTTAAAATCATTCCAATCTGCTAACTCCACAATATACTACACTTTCAAAGGATTTTCTTTGAACATTCAATTTCCAGATGTCTTTACATTTTTATACAAAGAAAATCCTCTAATCTGGAGTCACAGCTGATATATTAATCATGCTCATAGTGGTCAGAGGAAGCTGGTCAAAACCTTGACACCTAAACTGTTCTGCCTGTATAGGTTAAAGTGTGAAATTCGTCTGTATTATTTTCCTTTTGGGGAGGCTTCAGTTGTTTCAGACCTCCCCCTTTCTTTCTTCCTTATTACTGCTGCTGTTTGCTATCTCTTCCCCACATCCAAGGAAGCTGTTATCCGGGCCTCTGCTGTGGGCCACTGGTAGAGCCAGAGCTGTTTTTCAACTTAGTCTCAATTTCCCTTCCCTTCCTTTCCACCCCTCACCAGTCAAACATCAGTCTGAGTAAAGAAATCCCTTGGGAGAGAGTGGAAAGGTGGAAGCCAGTTCTTCACCTAGGGTAAGTGAGGAGTTGCACCTGTGGCACAAGGTGAACAAACCATCTGTAAATGACAGCAGGTACACTAGCCAAGAGGGGGTGCACATTTCTTCTCACCTGGGCAAAAAGGTTAAGTGGCTGAGGCTCAGCTATGCTGTACTTGTACTAGCATCTGTTAACCTACAGGTATCAGTGAGCATGAAGTCTAAGCGTCGTG